ACATGCTCATCCGCACTTAACGAGAAGTCATCTGAATATGATATGTGCAATAAATCATTTGCACACAAAGATGCCTTTCATAGACATGTGTGCACACTGATTTCAATGAAAACATACTTAACCACAATAGCAACAAACTATATGAAGAGGTGGATTGACCATTAAATAGCATATGCTTATGTGCTACAATTTTACATTTTTGGGCTTCAAGGAATGGGAACACTAGAAAATTACTCTATAATAGGTATAAATATATGCCATTTTAAATAATGGTTAAATTTGTATGATACATACACGACACTTTTCTGCAAAAGGGATGCATATGCACAGCGACTTGCCATTATTAAATATACATTAAACATGAGGACTCTGTACACTGTAAATGTGCATATTTCTCATTAACTGATGTCTTTAGATGTCTGAATGCTCTCATTCATATATCACAAAAATAAGGTTTCTTTGCAGTGTGGATACACAGATAAGAGATATTTTCTGCGAATAATTTGCAACATATAGTGCATACAGCAGGTTTGTCTCTAACATAGAAATGCATATACATGTGTAGTTCTTGTTTTCATAAGAACTGATGTATATCACATACATGAGGTTCTTCTCCAATGTGGACAGTAACTGGCATTATTGCCAATAATCTTAGGTTTAGCATTTTCTGTTTGGTATTATTTAATCATTTGTTTTGCAGTTTCTTTGATCTATAAATCTGGCAAATAAGTTTCGTTTAGAATGTTGTGATCGAGAAGTTACTGTTCTAAACTACGCAGCCATTTTAAATAATGGTTAATTATGCTATTTATCATTAAGACATACGGATCATTACATTAAACCATACATGTAAATAACCTTATTAATCTCTCTGTTTTTGTAAAGCGAAAATAAATTAGATATTAAATGAAGTTGGAACTTTGAGTCAAAACAGGCATTTTTAAATCTTTTGTGTGAAAAATATGTTACATATATGAAATATTTCCTCTCTGGATAGGTATATGTTTCTATAAAGAATTTTGCTGTTCTCCATTCATACTCGTATCTTTTTAAGTTACGATTTACCGCAAGAAATATGTAACAAAATTCCTTCTTGGTATTGATATTTACAAGCATTTTGATGAAATATATAAAGAGAATTATCTGGTTACAAATTTATCACATAAGCTACATTTTTGTTTAAATAGATTATCAAATTTCAGAAGATTAACCAAACCACAAGTGAAATTGAATCTTTTTAAAGAAGTATCACTTACTTAGAAAATATTATTTTTACACTAACTGTTTTCATACATTATACAAAATGTTCTTGGTTATGTGAATGACAAGAAAAACAACCAAAAATAGTTTTTACTACTTCTGAAACACAACCTCAGTTCAGTATAAGTGTACACAAAAATGAACACACATCTAATATTGATCTTATAAAATTCCCGATATATTCAAAGAATGATCACAATTTAATATCAATTAATCTGAAGAATGTCTTCAAATTACTCAGACTTTATGTATGTGTTCTGAGAACACATACATAAAATTCCTCTTCGGTGTGGATACACACATACACTACTAACTACTAACCCACACGCAAATGAAAATGCAGGTTCAATCTGGTATAAAATTACACATGCACATTTAACTGCTTTTATTTCTGAAAATCATTAGCTATATTTATAACACACATAAGGTATTCTCCAGAACAGATATATGTATGCTTTACTAACAAATAGTTGCACATCAAAAGACTTATTAGCATGGCTAGATGAATACTAAGCAATATAAGCATGTACTTAACGCATCAAGGAAAGAGGGCATTACAAAAGAGTCCTCAGGTATTCACAGAAGGGAACATCAAAAAATTAAATTTTCCATTGCTATTTTTACCATGGAATGCACAGTGCAGGTAATACCATGGAATGCACAGTGCAGGTAAACTAAAATGAGGGATGGCAGAAATGAAGAAAAAGCTAGGTGAACATTATGTTAAGGCACCAAAATCTTTTAAGCGCTTAGGACCTCTAAAGGGCTGTTCCCATTGAGGTTTATCTGAGCTAACAGAGACAATTGATGTAGCCAATCCATCTCCAAAACCAGTTTTTTCCCATAGGGCAGCAAGTTGAAAAATCTTAACTGCAGGCATAGTGGAGCTCTTCGACACATGGAACTGACTTCATTAGCTCAGATAAACTCCAGTGGGAAGGGCCTTTCTTAATGCCAAACTGCTTATTACACTATACAGTCAAAAGTCTTTAATCCAGACTCTTCAGGACTTCGGTGATTCCGGATTATAGATCATCAATTTAAATTTGGTAAGATGGCATGCAGAAATTATAAAATTAAAAATATGAAACTATAATCTATGAAATAAAGAGCAATTATGATCTAAAGGGTATCAAAATTTACAAAAAAAAAATCTTAATATTTGTTTACTTTATTAAACATTTCGTTCAATGCATGCATGCGCAAAGCATGTAGTATTATGCATAGTCGAAATTAGAAAATTGCAACCATAAAACTATTTGATGTGTATTCGTGATATTTATAATGACGATGAATTTGATTTAAATCATATCAAAGACGGAGTACATCCAGATGAAATACTACATTTAATAAAGAATTATAAGCCGAATAAAATAAAAACATCTGTCCTGAAGATAAGGATAGTGCTGACAGATCAAACTTCCAGTTCATTGCGCGCCGTGACTCCCCCCCCCCCCACCCACCGCAGAGCAGCGTGAAATTGATAAACAGATTTCGGAATGGTTAGAGAAACAAAGGCTATGCCTTTATCCATTTTTTTAGCAATTCCACTTTTTGTTTGATGGACATGGAAACATCCTTTCGCTTTGTAGATCCTTTGGCAGCTCCAGAATTGGAAATTCTTTTTGATACAATTGAAAGTTCAAGCTTACTTTTATAAAATTGCTGTAACAGTCTGCAAAAAATAATAAGCCGCATCCAATTTGAAGATTAAGGAACAACACAATCTGCAACATTAACTGAAATAGATAATTTTAGCTTAGCTTATACCATCTGTTATACATTAAAAACGCATGCGCAGAAAGTTTGTAGCTTTGAGGTTCAGATTATGGATCATTCCGGATTACAGACATCTGGATTAAAGACTTTTGACTGTATATCATATATGTGAGGTTTCTCTCCGGTAGGGGCATGCATATGAGTATGAATAGCTAACTGTTGCTTTCATGCAAATAACTTGTCACATATATCACACAGGTTTCTCTGCTGCATGCATAAGTAAATAGCATTTTAAGTTATTTTTACATGAGAACGATTTGTTACATATTTCACATAACGAGGTTTCTTTTCAGAGTGAGTAAGCAAATAGTATATGAAATTAAACTTTTTTTTTTTGGAAGATTTGTTACATTATGCTAAGGTTTCTCTCTATTGTGGATATGCATATGCACAGATAACATACACTTCTGTGTGAATGACTTGCAACAAATATCACATACTTCTCTTTCCAGTATGCAGCAGCAAATGACATTGCAATTCATTCTTTTGTGTGAATGATTTATTACAAATATCACATACATAAAGTTTCTCTCTGGCATGGATAACTAAATGACGGTTTAAATTACATTTCTGTGTATATGATTTGTTACATATATCACATACATGAGGTTTTTCTCCAGTGTGGATCAGCAAATGGCATTTTAAATAATTCTTTTGAGTGAATGATTTATTGCATACATCACATACATGAGGTCTCTCTCCAGTGTGGACAAGCGAATGGTATTTTAAATAATTCTTTCGTGCATATGATTTATTACATACATCACATACATGAGGTCTCTCTCCAGTGTGGACAAGCGAATGGTATTTTAAATAATTCTTTCGAGCATACGATTTATTACATATATCACATGCATGAGGTTTTTCTATATCAGGAATATCCATATTGAAGCTTAGCTGCAATCATTGTGGAAATAACTTGTTATATATATCACAATAATAAATCTTTTTTTCATTTTAGATAAATAATCTTCCCACCCCCATGTAAATGATTTGTGACATATTTCTCCAGTCTGGACAGGCAGCTTTCTGTAAAGAATTTTGTGCATTTTTCTGCTTGACAAATTTTCTTAAGGCGCGATTTTCCACAAAGACTATGCAAAAAAATTACCCAAGTACAAGTTTTCCTTTTAGTATCGACACTAATAAAAATTTTCATGCCGTTCTTAAAGAGAAATACCTTGCTATATATATACATACATATATCGTGAATACTGGTTTTTGAGTCATATGGGTTGTTTCAAAATTTCAGAAGATTAACAGGATACACAGATCAAATGGCTACATTTAATCCACAAAGTATACATACAAATATTCGATATCAATACGATACATGCAAATATTCGATCATAAAAAGTTTGTGATTTATACAAAGAATTAATAGATTTTAAAACAGATTACTCTGTTTAACATTATACAATTGAGCATTCTATTGTTTACTGCGAACGACTGTCCGAATCTACAAATGTTTCAATTGTTTATAAACACAAACCAGGATTTTTATTTTGCAAGCGTTTCGTCTTTCTGCCGATAGGTCTAAAAATCAGAGTTTCATCGGAAGTGTCATCACCGGATATGTACCCTTTATATATATCTACTAGCAATAACTTCAAATTAATCCTCCATATAAAGTACTACAATCTTTTTAACTAAAGCCGTAAATTACATTTCATAATTTGAATAAAAATATATAATCATTAGCGAACAGAATCCAAAATATACTTAACAGACTATTATCCCTCTAACTTAAAAATTTGTACATGAAGTTACAACAGTATAATCCATCGCATAAAAATATTAATATTTCCTCTCTCTCTTTATGAAACTTAGAGCTTCCTAGCAAAGCATACAGATTGTCATTTGGCTCCATGGAAAATCACGATCCCTCAAAATTACGTTTAAGCTGTAGATGGTGGCAATGAGCTTTGTTTGAAATTGTTTTTATATCTTTGTCATGCGCCGTGGGCGTGCGTATATGTTATGTGTGGATGCAAATTAGTATGAAGTTTTCTTTCTCCACAGAAAAATTATACCAGCATAATTTTAACGGTGAAAAATGGAATCTATTTACCAATTTTAAATAAGTAATTCTTTTGAATTCAAACATTAACTAACAATTTTAGGAAAATCGAAACTTCGTATAATGCTAACGTTGCATATTTAACACAATGGCATAAAATCCTTTTTTAAAGAGGTCGTGCAAGAATGATACTGTGCGAAAGTAATTTAATTAAGCATTTAATTAGGGAAAAACCATGTGTGAGGTACGTAATCAGTCATTAAAACTAAATGGTACTTTAAACAAGGAAATGCAGATTCACACAGGACAAAAACTTCACGTGTGTGAAATATGTAACAAGTCATTTATGCAAAAGTCTAGTTTAATTGAGCATATGCTTATTCACACAGGGGAAAAACCTCATGAATGTGAGGTATGTAATAAATCATTTACACGAAAGTTTGATTTAAATCAGCATATGCGTATTCATACGGGAGAGAAACCTCACCTGTGTGAGGTATGTAGAAAGTCATTTAGACTCAAATGTAGTTTGAATGTGCATATGCTTATCCACACAGGAGAGAAACCTCATGTGTGTAAGGTGTGTAACATGTCGTTTGTTCAAAATTGTCAGTTACACAAACATATGCGTGGTCACACAGGAGAGAAATCTTACGAGTGTGAGATATGCAATAAGTCCTTTAGACAAAAAAGCTATTTAAGTGATCATATGTTTGTTCACACAGGAGAGAAACCACATACGTGTGATTTATGCAACATGTCCTTTAGAGAAAAGGGCCAATTAAATAAGCATAGGCTTATTCACACAGGAGAGAAACCTCACATGTGTGAGGTATGTAACAAGTCATTCAGACTAAAAGGTAATTTAAATGAACATATGCTTATTCATACAGGAGAGAGACCTCATGTTTGTGAGGTATGTAATAAATCATTTAGACAAAAGAATGCTTTAAAAAAGCACATACTTATTCACACAAGACCAAAAACTTCTTGAGTTACGTGTATAACAGGCTAGTTAGACAAAAATGTATTTGAAGAAACATATCTAAACGGATTAGAAGCTTAAAGAAAAGAAGTAAAAATTGAGATCGATAAGAATGTTAACTTATCTGTGCAGTAAGGACTTATCCATGCAGAAAGGAAAAGAAAAAAAAAAACCTTAATATTTGGAGTTTTATCGAAACGTTATTTAATCCAAGTTCCTAATTGATCATTTATTTGTTCCACAAGAGAAAATCTTACTCAGAATCAAATAACTTTAAGTTCTCTTCTAATCTCTCACACTGAATTGCACTTTTCTCAATTAATGCTATAGGATATACGGAAGCACTTCCGCAGAGAACCCGGTAAATGTAAACACCGCCAACTTTCGCGATAATAGTTCAAACCTGGTAACCCATCGGATATGTCAGGTTTACGGCTCGGCCCATCGTCGATGAACCGGGAGCTTGGCGAGTAAAAATGCAACCGCGCCAACGGTTTCTCTGCAGATGAAAACCCGGATATACTATAATGCTTTATGATATTATTAGTACTGCAGGCTTCCTCATCAAAACTGAACCTCTTCACTATTGAGAATGCACAGAAATTATAGTTTATCACAAAGTCAAGGCTATGGACACAGTACTGTAGGTTTAAAAGATTAGTTTTGCACTGCGTTGCCAATTCCACAGCAAACCTGATCTTTTCACCACCAAACTGTAAGGATTTGTTGTGGAGCATTTAGAACATCTCTTTGGAATGTTTCAAGCATTATTTCAGCTAATGTAGAAGCAGTTGTCTGTTCAATATTGTTCAAAAATTTGTCGCATTCTGATCATCCAATTCGATTCCCAGTGCTTAGTAATATCATTATCGATGTGAAGTATGTGGATTATGCAACAACTAGCTCAAGAGTTTTGTCTGGAACAGAAAGTCCAAGGAATATGGTTTTTAAAATACCTCATTTCTTAGTGTGACGCACTGGGACATTTAAGTATATTTCATGATTTTGGTAAAGGTGATATTTGTGATGTTGTCTATCAAAGCATTTTCATGAACATATACAAGCGTACAATGTTTATGTCCTAGTCTATTCAGATGGAACTAACTATCCCGATTGCAGTGCCTTCCTTCACTTTTGTACGCAAGAACAATACTTTAAATAGCTTATTCTTTTAAAAAATGTTATCGGTGTTTGTAAACATATAAATATTTGAAATTTTGTTTAATTATGCCTCTTTCATATACATAGCAACATGGCTTAACATAAAATTGTATATAATGTAGTCTCTGAAAATACTGATATTTATATATTTCATAATTTTAGATACTTTGGAATATCATTTTCCATATTTCAGATTCGTGTAACAATTTGGTAATTTTATAAGTATTCTTATACTCAAATAACATATAAACACTTGAGTGTGTAAAGTATTTGTTTATGTAACTCTTTGTCTCCACTTTTGGTACTATCATGTTATCCATCTAATCTTAACAAGAATCATTGTGCAAAATGCTTTATCTCCAAAGTAGGCAACCCCATTTTATGAAAATGTATTTTTCTAGCAATCCGCTTAACAGTTGCGCATACTAGTGCTTAATACCCTCGCTACTGTAGTAATCTATGTTGAAATTTGAAGGTCTTGCTTATGATAACTGTTTGACGTGATTAGAATATGGAGTTTTTATTTATTTATTTTTTTTGGAATGAATTGTAATGCTGCATTTTTCAGAAATATGGTGTTTTGCCTGCTAGCAAAAGAATAGGAATGCACATTCCATGAAATTAATTTATACAATTCTCTAGTATTTCTTCAAAATAAAACATATCCATGTGTACATGGAGAGCACTGCCAATTTGGTCTGCAATGCCGAGAATTCTGGCAATGCTTCGATGTATTTTAAGTTAAAACATATCTTCGTGCTAATGAGTAGAAGACTGAGAAAATAAGTAAAGTGTTTTATTATGGATTTTTGTTACATTTTTAATTTAGGTAATTAGTTACTATTCCGTGAAATGTCGAGTGCTTCATTATGGATGTTTATTTTATGTAATTCTTAATATTTTATTATGGATGTTTCTCCTATTTTCAATTTCATTAATTCATTGTTGTTTTATGTAATTTTCACTGTGCAACCACTTTTTATAAATAGCTATTGTTTCTTACATGTTAGATTGGTGAAAAATTAGTCTCTAATGATTGCCAACTTTGCAGGAATATCCGACGTTTTAACCATTTTGAAATTAATGCAGTGCACATTATATCATTGGATGTTTGAAACAATAAGTATATATAATCCACTTGGTTTTATACCACTGAAAACAAAAACAAAAACTAACCACCTTCATTATGTTTTGCTTATATCTTGTGAAGATTCTACAATGAGTTTTCCGTTTTGTAGCTGGGATTTAGCATGAAAATTTAATCGCATCATAAACTGATTGAGAATCTTGAATTGATTGATGTGATATTCCACAACATAAGAAGTCCAGTTTAAAATTATAAAAAATTAACCTTTTGTTCACCTATATTTTTCAGTTTAACACACAGATAAGAACACAAAAGAGCAATGATTTGCATCTAAAAAATCTTTTATCACAACTGTTAACATTTTCTGATAACAGACTGACATGAGAGAAATTGACTTCTAGAACAACTCTGCAAACTCTTCTGCTTTCAGTTTAGCTATCAGTTTCTCCAGTTATATCAATCTGCCATTCATTAATGAATGTCTCATTGAATAACTTCGTAATAGTGAAGTTACTTCTCATTTTCTATAAGATCTTTTTCTTCTTATAATTCAGGAAGCTCGACATTACTTGAATACTTAATACTTTTGAATGCTTAACTAGTTCTAATTTCAAGAATTTCTTATTTTCAGCTTCTTTTTAAATCGTGTTTCAAGTTAAACTGTTTAGTTTAACTAATTTAACAGCCCTTTATTCTGACTTTCACTGAAATACAAACTATCACCAAGTACACATAATTTTCCGAGCATTTTGGTGTTATACAGTGCTTAAATTGCGCCGGAGCCCGGCTCCGGTACTTCTCAATTTTTAACATAAATTACAATTTTAGCCGGAGCACCGGAGCCCTAAATAAGATGAGCTCCAGTACTTCTTTTTATAAAACTGAACCACAATTTAAAGGGAAAAAATTTAGAATTTTTAACGTTTTAGTTTAACAATAAGCAGACCTTGCAATACTCTATTTTCCTAGAAATATGTATTCATGAGAACATGAGACGTTCAGGTAAAGTCCCCTCACTCATATGCGGAAACCTTTCCCTTTAAGAAGGGCAATAAATTTGGGTGTATTTTGTGCACCCAAATTATCAAATTTGTTTTTTTTAGGAACACGCGCCATCGTATCTAGAGTATTGTTATCGATGCTTACATTTAGTTATTTCTTAAACGACGGCGAGTTCAATAAGAGTGAAATATGAAGATAAACTGCTCAAGCACATCCTATACATTGTCTTCTCACAGTATCCACTGATGGGGGGGGGGTAAAAGCGTAACTAGCAACTTTACATTCCTCCTTAGGAGTCAGATTCAGGACTCATTTTACCCCTAACACACATTCACTTGATGGCTATAATCATATCAGCAGAGAGCCACGGTCAAAGAGAAAGTTCTTTCTCACCAAAATTTCCGTCATTTTTTGTTTCCACCCACTCATATCCTCATTCTGTTTCGCCCTGGAATTTTCATCAGCTATACTTTAAGTATATTTAATTTTTGTGATGATAAAAGAACTGTCTGTCTCGTAGACTACGAGACAGACAGTAGATGCAATGAGCTTCTAGTGTCTGAGGAAAAAATAAAAAGGGAAAGAAAAGTAAGCCATAAAATAAAATAATAATCATCAAATACAGTAGTACCTAAGGGACACCCACCAGAGCAGACGTTTTGTTGGAAATAATTAGCAAACATTTTATTAATTCAATTTCAAAATTAATTCAATTAATTTATAATTTGATTTTGAATCTAATTAGCAAGCATTATATTAATTCAAGTATAATCCATAGCATGATTTTGCTTTCATATCAGTGTCATATTACTATAATTCATATTTTATAATCAAGTTATACTGTCACATTTTTCATTTTCTAAATATTAAAACAAATGAGAACTTTCTCACATTTCATAAGACTTGTGAATATTATGCAACAGAAAAATGATACAAATGTTTCAAATAGATGTAGTAAATATTTTGAATGCAATTATTAGAAAAAGATGAAGTCCTTAAGAAAATTAGATGTATATGTTACATGTAATGCAAGCCTAAAAATTTAGATAGGTAGAAAATGTAAGAGAATTTTAAAAATGGAAAATATTTTTAACAATTGTAGAAAGTATAAGTCTTAATATTTATTATATATAAATCTTATATTTTAAAAGACATATAATGTGTCAGAAATTGTATAAAACAAATATAATAGTTCTTACAGTACTTTTCCATTATATGGGCACCATAACAAAATGCTCTTAAAATGTGCCGAAGACAGCAGCAATGTGATCCGCTAAGTCGTTTCAGTTTTCTGAGTAAAACTGAGCCAAATAATCATGTGTAATTATTTGCAGCCTTTTTTTTTTCTTTTTTAGAACACAAAACATAATTTGATAGATGACTTTCTTTGTATACAGTAGAGTAAAAGCATTTTGATAAAAAAAAAAAAAAAGAAAAGAAAAGAAAATGGGTTTCAGAATCTGGGATTTACCTAAAGATGAGGAGGAGGCAGTGAAATTAAGTGATTCATAAGTGAAGATTTTGTAAAAATAATTGTGAAATGATTTGTGTTTTACCATTTACAGTACACCAGGATGGCATTGCAACCTTAGATCTTGCCGAGAAAAAAATAGGTGACAGATCTTACACTTGGTTTGAAGGATGGCCCCTAAATTTCCTTACAGCTGTAAGATTTATCTACTGTTGGCACCGTGAAGTGAGCTCAGTTGAGTTTCGTTATTTGCAGTTAAAAATGAACCACAGTACAGTCATCAACTAGAACAATTATATGCAGGAGGTTTTTGCTTATGCCTTGCTATGTAGAACTGAAGTTAAAATTGGTGGAAATAACAATAGTAGAGGTTGACGAAAAATTTCTTACGAGAAGTGCCGTTGGCTGTGTTCTTTCTCTACAGTGGATTTTTAGAGGCCTATATAGAGAAAGAAAATAATGTTTTCTTGTAGCCATTTCGGATCACTTGGCTAGAACTTTACTTGGTGCGATTGAAAAAAAGTCACAGAAAGTAGTACAGTGTTTTCCAATTGCAGGAAAGCATGCAAAACAGATTTGAAAGAAGCAGGATATGACCATCTCACAGTTAACCATAAATACAATTTTGTAGATCCAAACACTGGATATCATACACAAACAGTTGAAAGAATGTGGGGCAGTGCAAAATGCCAACGTAACACTTTACTCACGATCTTGAATCATGCTTAATCATACTTATTAGAGTTTATGTGCAGACAATTACATAAAAAAAAATGAAATTTTTCTGAAATGTTGCAAAACATCTCTAAATTCATGCTCCCTGTTCAAATTTAAATTGCATTTCATTTATAATTTAATTTATTAATACTGTTATAATAAAAAATATGTTACATTTTTCTGTGGTGCCCACAAAACAGAAAAGTACTGTGATTCCTAATTTAATAAGTGAAACATCATTTTACATTTTATTCATTAAAAGCATTTTATAGTTGGAAAGTAAGTTTTGAAAAAGAAACATATTCAAGATCTGTAAAAAGCACACACACAAAAATTCAGCAATATTCCATATCACTCTTTTATTTGCCATAGATCCGGTGTATTTAAATCTGAAAGTCAGGAGAAGAGGCATTTAAAAGTACAGGACAGTAAGACAGATGAATTTTGCCCACCTAACGTTACAGTTAGAGACCGGATTTTGCCCACCTAGCATTACAATTAAAGAACATGATAGTAAATTTATAGGCCCTTTTAGGAAAACTCACATTGGTCATAAGGCCGAGCGGTAAAGTCACTGACTCTGGTAGTTCAGTCTGAAGTTTTAATCCGGAGAACAGGCTGGCCACACCATGTGTAATGTGTGTATAAGCTAGTTTCCCTTAGAAATTCCTCTATGAAGACATCCCTCCCTTAGGCAGATAGCCCTCGAGGCTTTGCTGTAATTTAATAAACCATAAAAAGTCATAAAATATATTTGATACCTGTCATTATCAAGAAGTGAAAAGAATCTTATGGTCAGGAAAATTGCTTTATGTGTGTATCAGGCTTCATCTGTGTACACTAAAATGCAGAATGATTACTGTTACGTTACATGCAGACTGGCTTCTGAAAAGAACATGCTTGCTCAGTATATATATAATATATATTCATATACAGGCAGCAAATTATTTGCATGTATAAATGAATATTTTAGAGACAAAATCTTCCACACCTTTGGAAAATCGTGCGAGTGCTAAATGTAAGAAGTCCAAAAATGCTGGAAAGGGAGAGCAGCACCGAAAGAAATTAAAAAGGCCTTAAATTTCACAAAATGGCAGCAATTATTAAGTCGAGTGGATAACCACGGTAGCATAACATAGCATAAAATTGTGAATGTAACATAAAAAAAAAACAAAAAAAAATCGAGGAGCTTGCACTAAGCATGTTTCTAATGTCAATACAAAATATAACAGCCGAGCTATATGCTTATTGCTTTGAAATCGCCCATTCTTCCTCCCAATACAGTTAAAATATTAAAGCTTCAGGCAGAAAGATTAATGATAAATGCAAATTTTCAGAAACCAACTATTTATACGCCTGTGAAGGAAATAAATTTCTCACAGCTTACCAGATGTCATTGATAAAAAGATGTTTTGTAATAAAATTTTTTTTAAATGTTATGAATTTTAATAGTTACGTAAAAAATATTAATTCTAAAATGAATAAACACATCTATCCTTTAGTGTGCCAGAAAATAAAAGAAATAGTCTGGAAATATTACGATAATTGAACTCTTTTTTTTTTTTCAATAGTTTACTAGTTCACTGCTGCCATCTATCGGCAGAAAAGGAATTACTGTTCCATTAGGGAAACATGCTGCCATCTATGGGTTATTATGGTGACTAAATTTGAGGATACCGGAGGAAATGTGTCAAACGATTCTTTGGCCAGATACGTAATATACCCCGCTAAAAACATTTCTGAAATCAAAAGCTAGCGCATTTGGAGAAACTATTTACGATTAACTGTATTCAGCTGTTCTACCATGTAAAAACTTCATTAGTCTTCTACAAATCAGAAATTTACATACGATCTACTAATGCTGATCTTCATTTTCAATTATAGAGATAATTTTCTTCAGCAGAACATTAAACTGAATCTTACACTAAAATTAAAGATAAAAATTTCTCAAAAGTATAACAGAAAAAAGGGCACATTTTGGTCCTGAATTTCAAGGCGAAATTCTCGATTACTACTATGAACAAAATTATAAAGAATGATTCCAGAAAACACGAGACTTCAATTCATTGCCGAATATTTATTACATCCTCTTGAAAAGAATCTGCTCCGACTACGGGGCTTTTATATTAACACTTTTCCAATCCTAACCTCCGTGAAACTCCCTCAGGATTTGCTGTGATTTTTCTGTTATTGTATCAATGGACTTAAAAGTTGACTACTAATTACATGGCAAATCTAACGACAGAAAAAAGAAAAATCACATGGTTAAATCAGTGCTTAAATTGCTCCGGTGCTTCTCAATTTTTAAGATAAATTACAATTTTAGCCGGAGCCCTAAATAAGATGAGCTCCGGTACTTCTTTTAATGAAACTGAACCACAATTTAAAGGGGAAAAAAATTAGAATTCCTAACGTTTTAGTTTAACAATAAGCAGACCTTGCAATATTCTATTTCCCTAGAAATACGAACTCATGAGAACATGAGACGTTCAATTCTTTAGTACAAGTAAAGTCCCCTCACTCACATGCGGAAACCTTTCCCTTTAAGAAAAGCAATAAATTTGGGGAGAGTTTGTTTAGGAACGCCTAAATTTCTCGTCATGCCATTTTATCTAGTGTATTGTTATCGATGCTTATAGTTAGTTATCCTCGCAGGAAGGAAAATTTGTGTTCTTAAATGTGCGTTAAGTGACAGCGAATACAATAAGAGTTACTGAGATAAACTGCTCAAGCACGTCCTATACATCGTCTTCCCACAGTATCCACTAATGGGGGAGGGGGTAACCAGCAACTTTACATTTAGGAATCCGATTCTGGACTCATTTACCCCTGACACCCATCTGCTTGATGGCTATAATTATATTAACAGAGAGCCGCGGTCAAAGAAAACATTCTCTCTCACCAAAGATTCCCCTCATTTTTTGTTTCCAGCCACTCATGCTCTCATTCTGTTTCGCCCTGGAATTTTCATCAGCTATACTTTAAGTACTTTTGTGATGATAAAAGAACTTCCCTTACGTTCAGAATTTAAATTGGGCCGAAACCCACCAGTCCTCGGCTAAGGTGTTTCTTAATTTTCGTAATAAATCATAATTTTAGCCGGAACGCACCGGATCCCTGAATAAGAAGGCTACGGCACTTCTTTTATGTAATTGAATAACAATTTCAGTAGAAATTTTATCTCGAAAATTTTATTGTTAAAATTATATTAAAAATCGCGTATTAAATTTCAATTTATCTCTTTACATTTTATTTAGTTTTCATTATTTAATTACTTCAATCTTAATTATTTCAATAAATAATAATTAATTATCAATTAAATTATAATTAATTATATACTAATTATTGATTGAATAACAATTTATAAACATTAATTAAATAGCTATTAATTAATTTGATAATAAATAATTGTTTCATTTTAAAATTATTAATGAGTTTAATAGTCATTTTATTTATTTATTTACTGTTGTTCCTCTTTGCTGACGGTCTTCCATAGGGCTCCGGCACTTCTAATCTTAGAAATTAAGCCCTGGGTTAAATATCAAGCAACAATGAGGCTTACAAATTTCAATTTTATGACTTTGGGGACAAAACTCATGAATAGCAAAAGCATTGAGGTGCATTATTGTGATGCAAAATTCATGAATTATTTTTATACAATTCAAGCTAACTTGTACGAATTGCTTCAAGAAACACTATCAAACTCTCAACACTTTTTAAACGCTTCAAAAATAAATAGGATCATCTGCGTGACTCATTAGGAGAAAAGTTCATATCTTTAAAGACCCTCCAAAATCTTTTGTTTTACGTTTATTTGAAGCAAAAATGGTAGCAGAAATGAAATTCTGCAATGCCGCCCTCGCCTTGACTCGAACCCTGTACCTCTCGAACACGGATTGATTATACTTCCAATTATAGCACGAAGGCATGCAGAAAGGAGGAATAGAATTCCTTATAACTATAAACATATTTCCTTCGAATGCTGTTATAGGGAGCTGAGGAATCGTTTCTAATTGTTACGAGTTTTGTACATATATAAAGGGTGTCCAAAAATTAACGCAAGATTTGAATTTGGCGCCATTTTTGCATTAAGTTGTTGACAACCCTAAAAAAAGTGGACTTTGGCCTTTCCAGGACCCCCCCCCCCCAAAAAAAAAAAATTGTAGAAAGTTTGGTGAAGTTTGGCTATAGTAATGACTGACTGTATCGCGAACGAAAGAAACGCACAAACAGACATTCTTCTTTATATATATATATGATTGCTTTAAAATAGTCTTGACACGTTACTCTTAAAAAAAATTCTGACTGTTGTAACATACTTCTGAATAATTTATTCACGGTTTATATAATAGCGATAAATTACCGGACTGAATATTTTCTGATAAAAAGATATCACAAAGTCACGTCAAACAATTCGTGTATATCATCAAAGACAATGTTATCTACAGCCTTTTAATCTTGAGATAATGGTGGGGACGTACCGAAAAAGAAATTTTATACGAATATCAGTGTAAAACGAGTTACGCCTCAGTTTCCATCATGTTAAGGTTCGAAACTAGAGCAGTGCATGGTGGCCAAGTTCAAAGAAAATTAGAAAATAAACCCAATCTTCTACCAATTACATTGGATACTTTTGAAGATGAGGTGAGAAACACATTTTCAGTAGAATCACATTATAGAAGATGAGATTCATTTGCTTGTTTGAAATAGAGTAAATTAAGTAACAGCATGGCTAAAGTATAGTTTAGCGCAATAAACATAAAATGAAAATTAAGAAAAATTACTCATTTTAAAATTCATTTTGAGCATAAAAAGAACGATAAAAATACTTGTAAATACTTGTTAATAAATTGTTTTAATTTAAACACTTTAAAAAATACAAAGTAATAATAGATGAATTAAACAGTCATCAGCTTAATCGGTAACAATTTAGTTTTTGTATGTTCGGTTTTGCTAAAAAAAGTACAAAGTACATTTTCGGGTAAATCTGAGAATATTTTTAGGAAATTTCAACGAAACTGAAATGCTTTCTTTATCAAGTTAGCTTTAAATGTAGTCCGAGATTTGCGAGGGCTTACTATATTAATGAATTTTACAATGTTCGAGTGCTATAACATAGTTATGAATATGTATTTAACAACTTCTTAATGCTTGAATGTTCCCTCTACCACACTCTTAGTACTTATGTATTTTATAAAAATAGACTGCATAATATTCTCATAATTTTATTTTAAAATATAGCTCTTTTTCTTTTGTAAAACTTCAGAAATTTAAATTTTTACATGCTTTAAAGTTAATCCAAAATACGTTTAAAAATACTAGACTTGACTGAAGAGTTCTTCTTTCAAGTTGAAATTGCAAAAGTATTGTATTTTTACTTCCTCGTACGAAGTAAAGGAAGTACTGTAATCACAAAAAATTCTGGGTCACATTTTTCAACGAAAATATCCATTTCCACCGCTATCGAATGCAATTTAATGATGTTCTTTCGTGACATCTGTACGTAGGAACAAAATAAAGGTCTCTTTTTTCCCCAAACGGATTATAAAATTGATTTAAAATAGATTCAGAAGAGACTTCTTCGTGACGTCTGTACTTACGTATGTTTGTATCTCGCATAACTCAAAAACGAGTAGCCTCAGAAAGTTCAAATTTTGTATATAGGACTGCTATAATATGTAGTTGTGCATCTCTCTTTTGAGTTGCAATCGACTACAACAAAAGTATATATATAGAGAGAGTATAAGTATATATATATATATAAACCAAAAACTTTTGTTTTTATTTTTTGGCCTATTGCTATGTTTCTTTTTGTATATATATACGTACTCAGTTACTTGGTTCCGTGGAACTCAGTTTTTATTAATTCTTAAAGGATGGTAAATTGTGCATTTTGTCGTCGAGTGCATTGCGAGTTGTAGTGTGGAGAGTCTCGAGAGTACGTGGAGTTCCGAGAACGACCAAGCAGAGTCGAGAGCTGTACTCTAGTGCTTTGCAGTGAAGCTGTCTACCCTGATAGCCTGATAACCTGGAGGCTGTGTCGCTGATTGTGTCAGCGTGTTTTACAGTAGTTCATCGACAACTGTAAAACGTGTTTTGGAGCTGTCCTGACAATACTGGCTAATAAAGTGTGTTTCGATACTCCATCAAGTAGTGTCGTCGTTATTCACTCCAAATCCACACGAAACCCCGTACGAACGTGAAGGAAGAAAATAACGTAACTATTGGTGTCATAAAAGAAAAGTAAAAAACGCAACAATATAAATCCGTAGGAAATGTCTTCTTTTTAGCTCAATGAAAGCAATCAACCTTCTTAAATCTACGAGTCTTAATTCGTCAAGACTTATTGCACAAAGTTTGTATAAGTTACAGTAATAAATTTAAAAACCAATTTATGACAGAAAACAATTTCCTTCTATTGTGTTTCTATTATGGATACTTGAAATGATACGTCCAGGATGGCTCCAGTACATGTAACAGCAAAACATGGCTCAAGAGAATCTATGTTAGCCGGTAGCGAAGCGCTGATGACTCCATTTAATGATTGTTGTTGAATTTGCGTTTGTTTGTTGAGGTTGCGTAATACCTATTGCATTCTGAACTCAAAACATATTTATTACAATTATGAGAAGCTCTGTTACATGTGTATAATAGTATGGAAAGTACAGAACAATTAATAGAGGTAAGATTACTGTCCTCGTTATGTGTGTATCCTGCTAATGGTAGGTCTCTCTAGCCGAGAGTTCTAGAGCATTCTGGGCCTGTTGTTCGTCGGAAACTATCTGCAAACTGAATTAGCCGCGCCTCCTTAATTTTCCACTTGTATTTTACATCCTCTGATTCATTGCAGAGGCTGTTCGCACATTTTTTAGATGATTTTGGTAAGCGGTAATAACAAATCGTTTGCTGCGAAAGAAGTAATTGCAATTATACTATGTTTTTAAAAGTCAAAATTATCGTCTGTGGCTTGAAAGTTTTGTTTTTATTCAAAATGGCGAATTTAACAAAGCAGTGGTTCGAAAGCTACATTGACGCTCTTTCCGAAGAGAAATATGCATACTCCGTTATCCACAAACGATGTCAGAGTCATGGTTTTGTGATATCTAAAGCGTCTATAGGTAATATCATCAACAAGAAAGGAAAAAAACGTCAATTGGAGCCTCAAGGGAGACAAAAATTCCAAACAAGTATCCAAGGAACAACCGAACATCTTCGACTATTGCAAAGGTACGTTGTTTAATGTTAAAGAAAATCCCTCTAGTCAATGGACAGTTGCAAAATCATTTAAATGCTCGGTGTCCACTGTAAACAAAATGATAAACGTTGATTTAAATCTTAAGAAGGCGAAAAACGCAATGTGCATCGTCTTCTTCCAAAGCATGTCGCTCAACGCAGGACACGCTGCAGAATTCTACATGAGAAACACTTATCCAAAGAAAAATGGAAAACAATTGTCACAATAGATGAAGCATGGGTGTATTTAAATGATTGTAACAAAAAAAGAGCCATTTATTATCAAAAAAGGGGAGAAAAATATTTAAGTACATGGTTCAAAGAATCGAAAGAAAGTTTTTCTAAGGGATTCATGATTGCTGCTGGTTTTTCATATAATGGCAAGTTAAAAATAAAGAGAGTGCAAAAAAAAAATGTCAAGATTAACTCTAAATACTATCAGGAACATATTTTATCGCCAATTTTTCTAAATGAAATACCATCGCTTTACCCACAGTGCCATCCATCTGTGAGACTCCATCAGGACAAAGCTAGCAGTCACACATCAAAATCCACTGTAAATTTCCTAAAAGAAATGGAACAAAAACCTGGTATCAAGGCCATACCCTTTACTGATGTTGATTTTCCGATAATAATCCTATGTGTTATATCTGACTTCGAATCTAAAATTTTCTGAAGAACACAAAAACCTTGTCTAAAACTTAAAGGTTTATTTAACTGGAACTTCAACACTGATGAAAACTTAACATCACAAACAAAAACTTAACATCTTGGGTGGAAAAACTTCAAAGTGCTTTAAAGTAACAGCTATGCCGGCACGGTGAAGAACACTTTCCCTTAAAAGACAGAAGAATCCATCTAGCCCTTTCGGCGTATATCTCCATTTTCGCTGAATTCAGACATCCGCTCCTACGTGTTTTGGACTTAAACGGCCAGGCTGGAACTGGAATAGGATTGGATCAGGACCGGAACAGGACTGGAACAAGACGGGAACCGGAACAGGACTGGATCCGCAACAAGACGGGAAACGGAACAGGGCGGAAACCGGAATCTCTCATCCCCTGGCTTCTCCCCGGGCTCGAACTAAAAGAGCACCTCCTTTTATTGCCGGCGGTTGCCGTTACTACAGGCGACTATGCAAATATTTAACAACTGATATTCCTACTAAATCTCCCGATGTGTCACTTATGGATTTTTGTGCTTTTGGACTTTTAAAAACTGCATTATCCAAACGTTGTCCCAAAACCCTAACAGGACTCTGGAAAGCTGTTCGGGAGGAATGGGATAGAATATCTCTTCTGCCACTTCAAAAGGCATTATTATCCTGGAAAATTGCGGTGTCGAAAGATAATTCAGAATAAGGGATGTCAAATAGAACATTTAAAACACAAGAATTTTATGTAATTTAGTTTTGTGAATACAATATACATCGTCTAAAAAACGTGTGAACAGCCTCTGTAAATCTAGAACGATATTAGAGGAAACACAAGATCATTGGTTGGTCAGCCCTCCTGAAATCGAGAGGCTCGGACGACAGACAGTGCAGAACACTAAAATCTCTTGATGTTGATCGTGAAGTTATGTTTCTTGTATTGTCGACCCAGACGAATTATTGCGTCTGCGATGTCGGCTGGCATATCATGAAAGATTGAAAACAGTGACTTGCGGGGACCATACACACGATTTTATCATCTCTGTCTGGTCCGCCTAGTCCTTTAATAAAGTATCCATAATGGAATCTCAGTAAAGAAAAAAATCATTGCATGCCATGAATTGATTGTTATATTCACTAAAAACGGAAAATGTGCATGTTATAAGGCATTTCTCCCGCCTCCTTAGCATGCCTTCGTGGTGTAGCGGTCAGCAAATTCGGCGTGTATTCGAGTGGTCCGTGTTTCAAGTCCCGGCAACGGCACTGCTCATTTATCATCGTCTCGAGTAACGGGTACAATTGGCGTGGTCCAGATGACAATTCAATACGCGTCCAGTGTATAAAGCCTATCATATGTATAATTTATCCTGTTTAATTCAATGCCTGTGTATAACTAATTTTCTTGTGAATAATTTAACCCGTATCATGCTTATACCACCCCTATTGCATATAATGTGCCCATGTATCATTAATTTCCCCGTGTATAATATAATGCGTGCCCAGTGTATGATGATAATGTAATGCGTATCCTGTGTCTAATGCGAAACCTGTGCAAAATAACCCTTTTTGAATCTACCAATATAGGGTTTATTAGGAAAGAATTTTAATGTAATAAGTTGATGTGTAGTTAATGTAATGTTAGGGCAAGGTATTAATTTGATATGTAGTATATAATGCAATGTGTAAATCATGTATCGTAATATATAGTGTAACATGAAATGTAAGATAAAGGTGCACGTGGTGCTGTACTGATTAACCCAAATGGTAAAGGGACAGTGCCCACGTCCTCCGTCGCTTATCGCTTATCGTCTATTAGAATCAAAAATGCTAATGCCTCTACAGATTCGCCCGAACTAAGAAAGTAGGTGGATGATTATTCTCCACCACGAGGATTTGGCGATTGGGTACTGTAATCCCCAGCCGCCCTTTAAAAGGGGGTATATAAGGTATTTATCCCGCCTTCATACCATGCCTTCGTGGTGTAATGGTCAGTACGCTTGGCGCTTATTTGAGAGGTCCGAGGTTAGAGTCCCGGCGAGAGCAGTACTCATTTTTCATCTCTCCTGCCTCGAAATAGTCTAATGTCTCTACAATGTATATTAAACCTCACGTTATTTAATTAAAAGTTCTTGTCACTAGCTGTGACTAATTTTATTTCTATCTGCAAGTATGAATGCTTTGTATAAAATTGTACTGAAAGTAATTTATTGCATCGAAGCGACTGCAAACAATTACATTAAAATAAACTAGTATTTATTTACTCTTAATTATTGTTAAAATATGTCACTTTACAAAACTTAAGGCTAACAAAAGTAAATTACAAAGGTTAGAGTACCTGAGTGTTGTAATGAAAGTGTTTAATTACTTGTTACTCACTTCAGTTTTGTTTCAAAAAATGGAAGATTGAAATCTTATTTGTTCAATTATGAAATATCTGATTATAATTGGCAGGCAAGTGTGGCAGAAAATAGCAATAAACAAGCTTTGGAAGAGCACATCGCTTCGCTAGAATGTGCCAAATATGGTGAGTCACTTCTATTCTTTTAATTATTTTCATTATCCGTACATTCTATCCGTCACAGCGTTTTCACAGCAGCAAAAGTGAAGGAAACTGCTCCAAAAGCAGTAAGTCGGATAAACTGGTATCAGAATTAAATAATGACATAAATAACACTAAAAATTACACAGCTACGTTTTTATAAGGGTTTTCACAATTGAAAAATTCGAGCTGTGACGAAGCTTTGGCTGTGATCGTTTCGGGGAGGAAAATGAAACAGTGCAAAGTCCGAGATTCGGATTCGTTGGAATTTCGGCGATTTCGGATTTTTCCGGATATTAAATCTTCAGCTTAAATCCAGTAAAATGACATGTCGAAATTGTAAGATTAAAAACAGGAAATAGTGGTTTGTGAAATAATGAAGCATTTACGATCTTAAAGGAATCAAAATTTACAAAACAAACTGGTACTTTTCCGTTTTGCCGACGCAGGCGATAAAGTCGCCAATAATGGTACAACCGATGCCAAACGGAATATCCTCGCTGGTAACCTTTTACGCCTCATTTTCAAAACAAGTCGCAGCCCTTTCTCATTAGATTGATCGTCTCTTTCAATACGATCATACAATTACGTAGAATTTTTAACCAGATATTTCAATTTTATGCCCTAAGGCCATTCGCCAGAGGTAATTAAGTCAATTAAAATGCAATCACACCATTCACCCGAAGGCGAAAATATAGAAAAGGCAAAGTCAAGGGTTAAATTCATCAATTCTAATGAGAATGCTCTAGCGAAGTAAAGCACTGGGGTTTTACATAATTTCTGAGTAAGCTATTCGTACGAATTGAAATAATGCTTGCATTTAAACTTGTATTCCAAATTAAGATTTAACTTGAAATTACTGTAGATAATTACTGAGAGAATTAAATTTTTGTAGCCTAGTTTACTTGAGATGAGACCACTGGGGGTCACGTAATACGAACCGGCGAATCAGGATGTTGTACCATGATAGCGTAGTCAATTCTTAAATTAATGTCTTTTTACAAATTTGTTGTCTTTATTTATTGGCTCTTTTACAAAATTTTAAACGACATTAAAATGTTTATAAATTCAAAATAAAAAATTCTTAGAACTAACATTTGTCAACTTTTTTTATGTGTATACTGTGTACTGTCGCCAATAAAGTCTGCTTGGCGAGATTTGCGCCGGCGAAACGGAAAAGTACCAACAAACTTAACATTTACCTGCTTGCTTTATTAAATATTTCTTTCAATGTAAGTTGTTAGCCCAGAAGGGCTATTAATTTCGTTTTGGCATTTTGTGTGGAAAGCTTTAAATATCCATTTCACTTTTCAAGTAGTTGCCACCAAATATTATCTCCCTGTGTTGTATTTAAAGAAATTAAATATATGCATAAATGTATGTATGTATGTGTCCTCTCGCATTGTGATAAAACGACGGTACCTAGAGCCATCCCATTTTGAATAACGTAATCCTCCACCGAATTTGGGCATCTGGAAACCCTAATTTGAAATTTGTTTCATTATCGATTTCATATTTTGCAACACTTGAACGAATTTTTGCTTAACAAACTCAACCATTTCGAAGCGAGCAATGGCAACGCGAAAAAAAATGTACGAAAAGAAAACATTTTCATCTCCAGCTTGCGAAACTGTGTATCGGAAGTAACAGTGTAACTTGGATTTGAGGTCACTGAGGAAGATGAGGTTAATAAAGCGATGTCAAACATAGCCATCAGGTGAATGCTCTTCTAGTTTTCCGGCTGTCTATATGTACAAGAAGGGTTATATTTTCTTGCTTCGTTCCCGAATTTGTTATGTTAGAAACAGTAATCCTTATTACAGCATTATGAGATATTTCATGAAGGGTTGTGTCTGCAAGGTTTCAATGAGAATAATTATGTCTCTGAACCAATACCTTTAGTTCATTAACCTGTTTAGACAAGTCAGCTATTCTTTTTGTTTCAATGAAGTACCACTGGGATCTGATGTACTAATATTGTTTCGGGAGAGGGCATGGGTAACTCTGTATTTTATCTGCCACGGCTGCGAGACTTCAGGGTCTTCATTAGAGCAGCCAAAATTGTTCATGTATTTGTTGGGAGTCTATTAACCCTCTAAGGGTGTCCGCCGATAACATTGCGGCAAAAACATCGCGGACGAAAACGTCGCGGAGAAAACAACGCAAGGTGAAAACGTCGTGCTACAAAACATCGTGGGAGAAAACATCGCTAAGAGAAAACATCGCACTTCTAAAACATCGTGGTGCAAAAGCGGTTCAAAAACTTCGCAGTTTAAAAACATCGTCGTCGAAAATATCGTGGTAAAAAATAAAGTATCTACAAATCATCGCACGACGATAACATCGCAGACACGCTTTTTTTCAGGCTTTAATAACTGTAAATGGATATTCCCATAATGATTTGTGAGCGCAAGATGGAAAAAAGGATAATATTTACTTTCATATTTTTTATTAACTAATAAATTTTTGCTGAAAACGTAAGAAGGAAATTTACGCATAGAAAATTAAGGCAACTTATAGAATTTAATAGAATTTTAAACTCACATAGTTAACTAACAAAGGTCATTAATAAATCACTTTTATAACGTTTTTACTGGTAATTTTTCATTAAAAGTATAATCTAAAAATGTTTAGAAAAAGGAAGCTACGTAACTGCATGACCTTATCTATAAAAAATTGCTAATTATGAGATTATTTTCTTCACTTTTGTCAATCTAAAGCTTTTACAATGAAAATTATTTCTTGTTCTGCTTCAATTTATTCTTAAGTTTCCTTCTTACTTTTTCAGCAAAAATTTATTAGTTAATAAAAAATATGAAAGTAAAAATTATCTTTCTTTCCATTTCTCGCTCACAAATCATTATGGGAATATCCATTTACAATTATTAAAGCCTGAAAAAAGCATGTCTGCGATGTTATCGTCCTGCGATGATTTGTCGATACTTTATTTTTTACCGCGATATTTTCGACGACGATGTTTTTAAACTGCGAAGTTTTTGAACCGCTTTATTTTCGACGACTCTTATTTTGTACCACGATGTTTTAGAATTGCGATGTTTTCTCCCACGATGTTTTGTAGCACGACGTTTTCGCCTTGCGTTGTTTTCTCCGCGACGTTTTCGCCCGCGAAGATTTTGCCGCGATGTTATCGGCGGACACCATATAATATATTATTTTACAATTCAGTGAATATTTTGATGGAAATGGAACACAGATATTCATCACTAATGTACACTGCGAAAAAAAATAATAAAGGTCAGTTCTATATCTCCTGTTCTAATGAGCCGATTGACGAAATTAAAAATTGCGTTTTTCATGTCTTGAAGGCGCTACTTAGGATATATATTCGATTTATATATAGCAATTGTTCGAATATAGGTACTTTTATGCAAAATCGGACTTTTTCTGAAATGACATGCCAAGTTTTTTGCATATTTCGGTTCTGCGACTCATATCATGCCTAAATATTAAATTTTGTAAAATGTGGAGCGAAATTTACGGAGAAATTCAACAATTCATCTTGGCGCATTTTTTTTTTTTTACGTTCGCGCCAAGAATTGGTGAACTTCTTAATTTATAGCAATCTATTTTCCTTTTCCTTTTTTTTTTTCATTGTACAGGAGCGAGGAGAATGTAATCGTTCATACTTTCAAATAATTTATAACGTTGCGCGCCTCTAACTAGCACGCAACCAAGAGGTGACTGTGAAAGCTTATATAAACCACAGAGTCTCATAAAGGGTTTAAGTCCCTTTTTATTCAAACGTACTAAATTAACAATTGCGTCCTCTTTGACGCTTACAAACTTTGCCAACTAGGCAGTCAAAATAAAATAATAACCTGAAAAAAAAGAAAATAAAGACAAGATTCTAACTACGAGGCTCTCTAAAATAACTAACTCACGCGTTTTACAAATACCGCAGCTAATTCAGCAGACTTGAAGCTCACTGGAACAATTGCAACTACTTCGCGCCAAGCACATAGGCCGCAACGCGGGGTTCTTTAATTCTCGCGATTCTACCTCCGCGCTCGCTAAGTAAGAAGAATAACTCTCTCACCGAAACTCGTTTCCTTCTATTTAAATCATACTACTTCCGCTGATAATTTTGAATGCTTGCGCGTTCTACTCAAATTTACATATTCTGGCATTGGCAGTTCCAGGGGAAAGTAAGGCTTGACAGGAAAGATAGTTTAAACTTAAAATAAATGTTAGTTAAAATAATATAAACCCTACATTTGCCGCTGCCAGAATTTGGAAAACTTGGAAGCAGGTCCTACAAAACGACCTGTTGTAAGTTTATCTAATTCTGAAACTAACTGGCGAAAGCCTCGTTTACACAAAAAAAATCTTATGTAACAATTAAAATTCTGTTAGTCGTTACAAAGCTTTCTCTTACAGCAACTTTCCTGGACTTCATCAATCAATCTTGGTCTTTCCTTCCAGCATCTGGAAGGAATAAGTATCAGTATCTTTCTACAACATTATAATTTACACTTTCTTGACACAATAAATTTTTGTTTTAACGTTTCGTTTTTCTTAGTTATTGCTTACTTCACATTCATTCAATTTTTCAAGCATTAATTTAACTTTACCTGGCTCTCCACCGTGTGTGGTGTGTCAAACGGAATATTCGTGTTTTAGTCTTACAACACTTCCCCTAACCACCATGATTTGTTAGAAATTCAACAACCAAATAGACACACCTTACTCGACATTCTACAACTCAATGAGCTACTTAACAGTCTTCTTAAAAATTCAAATGTAGGTGGAGAACCCTACAAAACACATTCATTCTAGCTTCCCCCCCTCATTCTTCTTTAAACATGCAGGCTTTCGCTCTTAAGCATGACTTTACAGTTTAATACTTAATTTTGACCTTCATTGCTTTTAAGCATTCACTTTTAGCATCTACAATTTTATGCTTCTAGACTAAATTCTACTTTTACATAACATGCAAGTATTTACATACATTTACAAAAAGTTTA